TGCTATGACTCAATGGTTCGATGGTTTGGGTGTCAACATGTGTCAAGAACTTCCTCGCGATTGGCACAGAAGTCCCACCAGACATCACCCTACACGAGTCCCCACCTAGGTCTCTGCTTCTTTGTTTGCGTGTTCACTCCGAACCATCGCTTGCTTGATGTGCGTGGCGAGTATATCGCATCGAAGAAAACCCGCGTTACCCGGATCTCCTCCATATCCGCCATGGGCTTCTCCATGGCCTTCTGACAGCCCACCTGGGTGGACCCGCTGGGAAGCCGAAATAGGGGTTCAAGAGACATGAGGATTCTTGAAGCTTGAAATGATTATTCTGGGTCCAAAAGAAGTGAATACTAAATGGGGATTCACGTCCCCCACGTCTGGGGAGAAACAAGACAAGGTACCTATATATATATATACATAGCTTCTTCTATGCTGATTCAGCAGTAGATAGACATGAAGTTCCAAAACACATAGAGTCTTTGCAGGTGCAAACTGCTCCTGCGCTACACCAACAAACAGAACATGAACATGGCCGCCATGGCCAAACCTCTCAGAAATGATCCCAGAAACCAGGCGGGGGGGTGGATTTTTGGGGTTCTATACAAGGCACACCTGATCAGCCTATCAAGCACTGCAGGGTCTCCACCCTGTGGCACCCACCTCCACTCCAGTGCCGCGCTTCATTTCCTGCCAGCGGGTCCGGGGTCTGTCGTTGAGGGCGGCCATGCCAAGTACATGGTCAGTACCGGACGTAGACCATCACTAGACCTATACGCAAGTACGAAACACGCCTAGATGACCTATTCAGGGTAATCCAAACTGATTGTGTTTATATATGCATCTGCTGGACAGTGGGCTATCCGTAGTGCTAGACCCCCAACCCAATTAGTTCTTTTCCTTCCTGTGTTCACCCGTTGTGCACATGGAATCCACCGCAATCCATGTATCCCCTCCTGGTCCAAAGAGTGCAGTTATTAGGTGAACAACTTTTAATCGGACTTGTTATATGCCAACGTTGCAAGTAAATCTCCATTCGGCCCAAACCACACACAACAAACATGCCGGTAGCAAGCCCCAAAAGTCAAAACACCACCCAAAAAACTCTCCATGTCTCTCACTTTGATCAACTGGCTTTGCGCTTTGCTGCGCGGCTCGCGCCTGCAAGACCAGGTCAAAGCGCGGCTCGATGCCCGCCATGAACCGCTCAGTCGCCTCCTTTGGACCAGCGGAGAGGGAAAATGGTGGACAAATGGTGAGTTGCTATTGGGATTCGTGTCGAAGGGGGGGAGGAGGCAGGAACTTCTACCTTCTACACAAAGCTCAATCACATCGAGATGCCCTTGATTCTCAAGCTTTCACCCGGATCTCTGTGATCGATCCCTCTCCTCAGCAGCACTTCCTCAGTCAACCAAATGGACATGGGGTCAAAAACAACCAACTTCTGGTGGGACCAAGATCGGCAAGTGATCAAAGGACATAGGATGAAATACTTCAAGAACCCTAAAGTTTACGCTTCTTACTCTGTTCCAACATGAC